AGTCGTAGTCGTAGTAGTAGGAGTAGCAGCTGCAGCAGCAGCAGCAGCAGCAGCAGCATTAGTGGTAGTAGCAGTTGTGGGAGTAGCAGTAGTAGTAGTAGTAGTAGTAGTAGTAGTAGTAGTAGAAAGTAGAAAGTAGAAAGTAGAAAGTAGAAAGTAGAAAGTAGAAAGTAGTAAGTAGCAAGTACCACTACTACTACTACTACTACTACTACTACTTCTACTAGTCGTACTAATAGTACTAGTACTAGTACTAGTACTACTACTGCTACTTTTACTTTTACTTTTACTTTTACTTTTACTTTTACTACTACTACTACTACTACTACTACTACTAGTAGTACTACTACTACTACTACTACTACTACTACTTCCACTTCTACTTCTCCTTCTACTTCTACTAGTACTACTACTAGTACTACTACTAGTACTACTAGTACTAGTAGTAGTAGTAGTAGTAGTAGTAGCACTACTACTACTACTACTACTACTACTACTACTACTACTACTTGTATTACTACTGCGACTAACTATTATTTTTTTTTGGAGTTCGGGGGGCTGTGGGAGTGCACGTTTTTTTAAATTTTCTGCTTCTGGATTGGCTGTCGGGGGCTGCTTTATGACAACTGCCACTACTAATACTACTACTCCTGCTACTACTACTACTACTACTACTACTACTACTACTGCTACTAGCATTACGACGACGACGACGACGACGACTACGACTACAACGACGACGACTACGATTATTGTTATTGTTTTTTATTATGATTACTACTACTACTACTACTACTACTACTACTATTACTACTACTACTACTACTACTACTACTACTACTACTACTACTCCTGCTGCTGCTGCTGCTACTACTCCGAGTCCTGGACCACCACCACCATCACCACCACCACCACCAATACCTACTTCCCTACACTCGGCTACCAGAGTTTGAGCAAATGTAGTTGCCAGTCTGAATCGGATATCGTTTGGCGAGTCCGAGTGTGAGTGCGGAAACGTCTCGTAACCCAAAAGCGTTTTTGCTCAGTGCTCCCCACCGCTTTGACAGCCTCCGCGCTGCAACGAAGATGTCCGTCTCGGAAGTGGAAGTTCGCCAGGCGCAGAAGGCTTGGTCGGATGCCATCGTGGGTATCTCCAAGGTGTACCTTGAGAAGGGCGACTATGTTACTGCCGCCGCCAAAGCCGCTGGTGAGCTCTACGGATACGGGCATTGTGATGTTCTCTTCAAGCCGACGAAGGCAAAGGATGTCCAGTTCCGGCCCATGGCATCCCAGGCCATGTCCTACTTTGTCGGCTGCAATGCTGTGATCGGGCTCTGGTTCAGGATTTTTTTTGCTTCCACTATTAAGGAAACCAACTTGTCTGCTACAACTGGCTCTTATTGTAGGTTCAATGTAGTCTTGTTACCAAGACCAAGAACGCAGGTGAAGAATGGAATTGCGGAGGATGGTGGTTTTGCCATCAACGGCGGCAAGGGCTGGTCAAGCGTTGTTTTCGACAACCACCAGATTGATTTGAGTGGCAACGTTGCCATCGCAATGGGGAACTATTACTTCACTAGTGCGGCTGACGGAAGCAAGACCAAAGTGGAGTACACGTTTGGCTACAAGAAGAA